GTTGAGGGAGTCTTCTGTGTAGTGGGTGACGTCCTCAGCAAATAATGATACATTAACTTCTTTTCTTAGCCGCATCCTGTTTATTTCTGTCTCATGCTGTTGCTTTGCCTACTGGTTCAAAATGTTTCAATATCGAAGGAGACTGGAGATAGTGAACAAGGTTGATTTCCTCATGTTTGTGGAAAGCTTTCAGCTATAGTATGATGTTGACTTGTTGTTTTGTGACTGATAGTTTTCCAGGTTGAGATAACTACATTGTGTACCTGTATTTTCAAGGCTTTTAAAAATAAACCTCGTAAGTGTGTATTAAATTTTTTGAAAGTTTTTTTCTGTATTGATTGAGACGATCATGTGATTTCTCTCCTTGCTTTCATTAATGTGATTTGTTTCCCTCATTGATTTGCATATGCTGAACCATTTCTGCATCCTTGGAATGAATTTTGTTTCATCATGGAGTATAAGCTTATTGATTTGCTGCCTTCTGTTTGACAGTATTTTATTGAGGATCACTGCATCTGTGTTAATGTGAAAGAGAGTGTCCTGTAATGCTTGTTTTTGTTGGGTCCTTTTCTGGTTTTTGAATCCGGTTAAATCTGGGTATTCCATTTGAAGTTCATTGAAGAGTCTGAGGAGTATTGGAGCTAAATCTTTTTTCATTGTTCTTATACAACTTGACTGAGTTTTCTTTTTTGAATGTGGGTTATATATGTGAATTTACCCCCTTTTTCTGAATTCCTATTTTATTGAAATAGAGGTCTTGAAAATATTCACAACTGATCCTGTAGCTTTGGGCAAAAACCATTGTGATTTTACCTTTTACATTTCTATTGGCATACATTTGGGAAAAAATTTCCCTTATTTTGTTAAAAATGGCTTAGAGTTTGTCTAGTTTGTTGAACCTTTCAAAGAATCTGTTCTTTGATTCGTACACAGAGTACCTAGTCAATTTTGTTTTGATTTCATTCATTTCTGATCTTTAGAGTTGTTCTCCTGGTACTAGTTTTGAGACTGGTTTATTATTTTTTAAGAGTCTACTGTGCATCATTAGGTTATTTATTTGGGCTTGCTCTATTTTCCTGATGATAGAATTCATGTATAAATGTTTTTCTTTGTCGTGCTTTCATAGTGTACCATGCATTGTAGTATGTTGGCATTATCACTGGATTGCAGGATTGTCTAATTTCCTCAGTAATTCATCTCTGGTACATTGATTATTCAAGAAGGTGTTGTTTAATTTCCACATGTTTACATAATTTCTGGGCTTTCTTTAGCCTCAGTTTTCTAGTTTTTTTTCATTGTGTATGTCTGATAAATGCACTAGGTAATTTAAATTCCTTTCCATTTACTTAAGCATGCTTAATGTGCTAGTATGTGATCTATTTTAGAGAAACTTCAATTTGTGGCTGAGAAGAAAGTGTATTCTATTTATTTTGAGTGGACTACTCCGTGGAAAGTTTTCTGCCATCCTAACAGGACCTATCTTTTATGGCACAATGTGCTTTCTTTTGATTTTCACTTATTCCAATGATTCTCAATTAGTCTTCATTACATCATCTATCAATTGTTTTATCCTTAATAGTCTCTATTTTAAAGGAGCTGATCTTTGATCTTTAACAGCTTCATTGTCTTCTAGTTCTGAAATTCTAGCCTCACAGGGTGACTTCTGTGCCCATATTTTCAGTATGATTTTTAAACTCTTACATTTCTGATTGAAAGCTTTTTATGGCCTCCAATCTTTAGTGAACTGCTTTTTATGGTTTATATCTTTTTTCTTTTAGCTCATCTAGGGCTTTGTTACGGTCCTCTGAAAGTACCTGCATCTTTGTGGTTATGATTCTGACTGGCTTATGCCCCCCCCCACGGTGGCACCCTGGGGAGCACAGGGGACAAGGTGGGGGGGGTGCTTGGAGGCCCGGGGCTGGCCCACTCAGGTCTGTGCAGGACATTTGTGACTGGGCCCCGGTGCTTTACCTCCTGGAAGCTGACCCAGTGAAATAGTCATCTGAACTGGAAAGGTTTGCCTGGCCCAAAGCCAACCCTGCCCCCCCCCCCCCCCCCCCCGCGGTGATCCCACTTCCGGAGGGATGGGGTGGGAATGGCGTCAGGTGGCGTGGCGTGGCGTGACGTGGCGTGACGTGACGTGGCGTGGCGTGACGTGGCGTGGCGTGGCGTGGCGTAGCGTCGTGTGCGACTTGCGGGGGTTTGGAAGTCACGTGAGGCACACTTCCTGCCTTGTAAACAAGGAATGCGAGTGCCGGTGCCTGTGTGAGTGCGAAGCCAAGGTAAGGAATGGCTTCCAGGCCACTGAATTAATCTTGGGAGTATCTCTGGGTGGGTTAGGGGGTTGCTGTATAAAATTCGGTGGCTGTTCTTTTTCACTCCATTGATGATTTATTTTGAGGTGCAAAAACTTTTCAATAATTTAAAATGCCAGTTGATTCTTTGAAGTGTTTCCTGTGCCGTTTGCATTTTGTTCATGTATTTTCTGCCTAACTCGGTGTCTCCCAGATTTCGACCTACCTAGTCTTCCAGTAGATTTTTTGTGTTTTAATACGTAGGTCTTTGAACCATTTTGACTTTAGTTTAGTACATGGTGATAGGCATGGTTGTATTTTAAGTTGTTGGCATGTGAAAAGCCAATTTTTCAGACACCATCTATTAAAGAGGCTATCCGTTTTCCAGGCGACATGTTTAGCCCCTTTGTCAAATATTGGGTGGCTGAGTTCCTTTGTAGTTGTGTTTGTATTTTCTAATCTGTTCCATTGATCCTAGGCCTATTTCTTTTCCAGTACTATGCTGATTTTATCACTGAGGATTTGTAATACAGTTTCAGGTAAGGAATTGAGATACCTCTTGCCTTGCCTTTTTTGCCCATAATTGCCCTTGCTATTCTAGATCTCTTCTGTTCCGCTGCCTTGCCCTTCTTTCCCTGGATTGTGCTTTTGGTATTCTAAGTCTTTCCTGCTCCCATAACCAATTTTAGGGTCAGTTTTACTTCCGTAAGAATACTGCTTGTTTGATTTTTTAGGGTCAATTTTACTTCTGTAAGAATACTGCTTTGAAGTTTGATTTTTGTGAGAGCTAAATAACAGTTTTACAAGTATGGTTACCTCTTTGACTAACTAAAGTGGGTGTATGTGTTCAGAAACAGGATAACTTTTCAATGCTAGATATTCTATTTTATCTCCCTTATTAGTGCTGTTTATTTTATGAAGATCATTCATTTTCTTGTTGAGATTAATTCCTGGGTGTTTCATTTCTTGATACCATGGAGAAAGGTACTAGTTTTCTAATTTGTCTATTGGTTTTCATGAATGCTGTTGATCTTTGAGTGTTGTGTCTATATCCTGGTACTCCTCTGAATGTAATTGCTACTTTTATGGACCTATTGCTGGAGTTGAGGGAGTCTTCTGTGTAGTGGGTGACGTCCTCAGCAAATAATGATACATTAACTTCTTTTCTTAGCCGCATCCTGTTTATTTCTGTCTCATGCTGTTGCTTTGCCTACTGGTTCAAAATGTTTCAATATCGAAGGAGACTGGAGATAGTGAACAAGGTTGATTTCCTCATGTTTGTGGAAAGCTTTCAGCTATAGTATGATGTTTACTGCTGTTTTGTGACTGATAGTTTTCCAGGTTGAGATAACTACATTGTGTACCTGTATTTTCAAGCTTTTAAAAATAAACCTTATACGTGTGTAGTAAATTTTTTGAAAGTTTTTTCTGAATTGAGACGATCATGTGATTTCTCTCCTTGCTTTTGTGTATGTAATTTGTTTTACTCATTGATTTGAATATGCTGAACCATTTCTCCACCCTTGGAATGAATTTTATTTCATCATGGAGTATAAGCTTACTGATTTGCTGCATTCTGTTTGCCAGTATTTATTGAGGATCACTGCATCTGTGCTAATGTGAAAGAGATAGTCCTGTAATGCTTGGGTTCTTTTCTGGTTTTTGAATGTGGTTAATGCTTAGTTCCAGGAATGAATCTGGGTATTCCCTTTCAAGTTCATTGAAGAGGCTTAGGAGTTTTGGAAGTAGATCTTTTCTATTGTTCTTATAAAACTTTACTGAGTCTTTTTTGAACTTAGGTTTTATACACATATGAATTTACCCTCTTTTTCTGAATTCCTAATTCATTAAAATAGAGACCTTGTAAAAGATTCACAACTGATCCTGTAGCTTTGGGCAAAAACGATTGTGATTTTACCTTTTACAGTTCTGTTACCATACATTTGGGAAAAAATTTCCTTATTTTGTTAAAAATGGCTTAAAGTTTTAGTTTGTTGAACCTTTGCAGGAATCTGTTCTTTGATCCATTCACAAAGTACCTAGTCAATTTTGTTTTCATTTCATTAATTTCTGAATTTTAGAATTTTCTTCCTGGTACTAATTTTGGGACTGGTTTATAATTTTTTAAGAGTCTCCTGTGCATCATTGGGTTATTTATTTGGAGTTAACTGTATTTTCCTGATGGAGTGTTTTATAAACTCATTAATCCCAGTCCAGGGATTCTCACCTTCAAGGCCAAATCACCTTCCAAATGCTCCACTTCCTCATGCCAGCACAATGTGTGCTGGATTTCAATGTGATGAAGTTCAGAGGGAGCACAAATGTTTCCTTTTTTACTGTACTTTCTAAGCAGTGGGTGTGGCTATTCAGCATTGTCAGTCATATTTGGCTAAATTTCAAAGTACATAAACATTAGTATAAAAGTTTTTATTAGAAAAGCTGATATATAATATTTTTACTTAGATCCTTTACTCATTAAAGATAGAAATCATTGACTTGGTACTTTGATTGTAATTTTGAATAAATTACTAAAGTCCATAGTCTGCTAGAAAAATACATTTTTCCTAGTTGATAGCTTGTTGTTGAAATGCAAAATACATTTACTGCTTAATAAGTGTCAGCTGTGAGGTGACACTTATTGAGACTCAGTTAAAAAGTGAATTGTTGTAAAATTCCCGTGCTTTTCCACTGTACAGGCTCGGGTCACTGGGAGCATATTGAATGGTAGGAAGGAACAACTTCAGGCTGAGGAAAGTGATAAGGAAAAATGGGATTTCCTGCAGTTTGCTGAAGCATGGACTCCAAATGACAGTTCTGAAGAGCTCAAGAAACAAGTTTTGTTCACTCATGTAAGATGATACGACTTGTTCTTTTTCACTTAACACACTGAAATTATAACTGTAACATGTTTTAAACTTTTTTATTTTGTTGGCACATTTTAGATATACATAATAACATTTATCGTACATAGTTCATATCTGTACATGATGTGTCATCTTTTTTTTCCCGTTTTCCCCTCCTCTCCTTTGAATTCCTCTTCTCCTTATTTACAAACCATTTTTTTTGCTAGTCTCATTTTTCCTCTTCCTTTCCTTCCTTTTCCCCTCCTCTCTCCCTTGTTCCTCAGCTCTTGATTATTCATGTCCACAAAGGAGAATTCACTTAGAGCTGAAAAATGTAATAGAACAAATAATTATGTTAACAGAAGGTGACTTTTCCACCAGTTTTATCATTCTTCAGTTTCTTAGATAAACAAGCTAAGTAGAATCCAAACTCCACGAGAAAATATAGGAAGGTGTCTTTATGACTCTGAAGTTAGAGAAAGATAGATGAAATTCCCTCAAATGCAGAAATCATAAAGAAATAGATTGAGATATTTAACTGTATCAAAATTTAAAATTTGTATTGTAACAGATGTCCCGTAAACAAGTCAAAGACTCAGTTAAAAATTTATACTACTCAGTTAATGAAAGATAAACTGATAGAACTTTCGGCAGCTAAAAAGATAGAAATGTGAGATAAAAGTGGTCTTTATTTTAAGAATGTGGAGAAAGACTCAGTGACCTCCGGGGTCTGGCTTTCTCTGTACCAGACACATGGTGTGGGGGCATATATATAGCTTAGGTTTGGGGTGGTGCCTAAGGGACATTACTGATGGCACAGGTAGCCCAGTGGAATTCCTTTTGTGCCACAGGTAAATTGCCTAGGGGCAGGAAAGGTGACCTCAACATAGAGCCCCTTAGTTCCACCTCCCAGCCTCCCACTGCTGCAGCTTCCCATTGGGGGCAAAGTCCTTTCACAAACCACCAGAAAATAGGTGAAGAATGTATCAGAGGGAGCATCAATAGCCAAAAATCATAATAAAAATGTTCTGCCATATTAAGACAAGGCAGGTTATAAAAATAACTTTTTCCCTTTGCAGTTGGTAAATAGTCTATAGTATGATGCTTTCAGGTTATGTGACCACTCGTTCCCAAAATTTTTATACAGTGGTTTTACCATCATTGATGGTTTTTACTTGAATCAGTATGGAAATGGTGGTTTTTCTATTTATGTCATTGCTTGTATATTGACTAGCTGGTATTTTTTGCAAAAAAGCATGTTATTTCCCCCTTTAAGAAAATCATTAAAAAGTTGAGGATTCTTTTATTTTTATTAATATTTACTGTGTTATAATCCTTCACTTATTTTTTTTTTGTTTATACTTAACATCTGGCTAATAAAATCACCTTTACGCTGATTCCTTTACGCTGATTCTTTTCTTAAAAAAAAAAAAAGATCCTCATAATGATTCTCCAACTACTTCTTTGGTTTCTGGTAAACAAAATTTCCAGATTCACTTTGAATTCTCTTTGCTTCTGACTTGCAACTGGCTGTTTCTTTAAGGATTCCTGGTTCCTCATAAGTTGCTATTTAGAAAGTAACATGAGGGACTGGTAATGTAGCTCAGCAGCACAGGTGCCTGCCTTGCAAGCCCTGAGTTCAATTCCTGATATTAAAAAAATCTGTGTATCTATAGATGTGTATATCTTTAAAAGGTTACTGTTATTTTGCACAAAATTTCCAGTCTTTAGATGATTCATGTAAGTTGACATCTTTTGGGAGTGGGTGGGATTTTTTTAATTAAAAAAGAAAGCAAAGGTGAATAAAGTGTAGAAGTGATACAGAATGTCACATTAAGAAATCATCACTAGTTGATATATATTGCTATCTTAGAAGTATTCAAGTTACAAAATCAAAGACAGTCAATCACAGTACAACTATTCAGTTTGATGGTCTATCAAAAACTTAATAATATGGTTATCTATCTTGCACACTTAAACATACCTTACTTATATGGGTATACCTACAAGTTGTTCTTTCCTTTCGAGCACTTTCTTTCAGTTTAGGAATCTTTTATTTTTAGTTGTTTTGCTTTGTTTATACTTATATATTTGATGTTTGGCCAGCAGATGAAGCATGCTTTGGTTGATTTTAGATGGGTGTGGCCTTTCACTGCTGTCTTTATACCCTGTATCTTCATGGAAAAGTTGTTTTTTGAAAGGTTTTCGAAAACCGAGTTTTAACAGTGGACATATTTTTCTTCTGAATGTTGCCAGAACTTTTAATATTTTCTCTGGGAATTTTTTTATGTATAATGATTTATTTCTGAATCTTTGCAAAAGTCGTAAATTTTTCTTTAGTGCTTAGCAATTTTAAATTTTACCAAATTATCCAAACTTTCCAATTGTCATCAAAAACATGATTAACTGTAGCACTTCTAATTGGGTGGGTTTTAGCAACTTGTAGATAGTTGTGTGGTATCAGCATTTTAAGGAATGTTGCTTTTATCTTTATCCCAGCTCCCTGCTGCCACAATTGGAGGGAACTGGAGCAAAGAGGAACCTTCTGCTTGGTAGAACAGATTGTCTCTGTAGTCAGCACAGAGCTCAAAGGCTCAAGGAGACCAAAAGCAAAGACTAAGCCTGAGGGCAAGAGAGAGTAAACTGAGGGCAGGCAGAACCCAGGAGCCTCTACCACCCTCCTCCCTGGCTCCCAATGTTCCTCTTGCCCTCCAGTTCATCAGATTCAAAATGCTGTGGGCCCCATAAGTGGTTTTTAGAAAACATGAATTTGGTAAATTCGGCAAATTGATCCTCAGTAAATTATATTTCAGGTGAATGGACTTGTAACATATAGTTTACTGGACAAATAAGTCACTTAGCATAGGGGCTTGGGTTAATTTGTTTTTTGTGAATTGATTTAAAGCCTAGAATTGCGATGATCACGGGTCCTGTGATTAGGAAGAGGAAGAGTAGAAGAATGTGAAAAATACTTTCCTCAACATAGTTTTTATATTCGTTTTGGTATCTGCCGCCTCTTTTCTCTTCTGATGCACTTGCCTCAGAATTGTTTTCTTTTTCGTTCTCCCCTCAGTCAGAGTCCTCTTTCTGTCATAGACCTCGGTTCTAACTATTGAGATTGAAGGAGAAATGCATAGACCAGGGCTGGAAGTCCACTAGCATGTAGCATGTTACCATTGTTAAGATATTGCAAGATTTTGGTAATGGTTGGTGAGTACCCATTCTTCAGACCTGTCACTATACTCCCTTCACCCCATCATGAGGACATTCTGGTCCTCCCCATGATCCAGCACCACAAGGGGCCTCTGGGCCTTTGCTTTAACTCGTTTGGAAGGCAACCCCTGCTATACCTCTTTTTAAATTTTAGTATTTGAATAATCCACACAGACACATGAGGTACAACTGTTTGTCCATTTAAGATAGGAGTTTTATTTATTTTTTGGCACCAGGGATCAAACTCACAGCCTTGCATTCATCAGGCAAGCTCTCGAGCCACTGAGCTAAATTCCCAGCCTATGAATATAGTTTTAAAATAAATTAATTACTAAAGCAAATGAAACTCAAATTAAAGTCCGAAGTAAATGGAGAGAAAAACATTTCCAACATTGTAAGGAAAGTTAGTTTTTCACAGCGTATTTTCCCATCCCATAATTGAGCTGGCCTATTTAGGAGTCAGTCACCAGTGTCCCTGCCTCAGATTCAGTCAGTTTGTTTATATTACCTCTTCCTTTCTTGAACTTCTGGATGTGCATCCATCTAAGTAGCCATGATAGCTTGTCTGCTGTAAAAAAAAAAAAAAAAAAGTAACATGTATTTGTGAAGGAGAACTTAAGAACAACTAAAATTTTAAAATGTGCTTTAAAAAATCCATAGTTTGCATTTTTCATTAAATGCCAACATTGTATGAAATGCTTGCCTTGTTATAGGATAGAAAGTTCAAATAAAAAGTTGTTTTATACATGTGAAAAGTAATCTTTTTCTTCACTAGTCTAGTAGTAGAGTTGAATAAATGGTAACAGTGAAAAGAAATTGATCATGGGTTTAAATGAAGTGGAAATCTTTGTCCAAAATCCCTTTTTCTGACTGGTATCTCAGGGCCAGTACATTATAAATTGGAATATTTGTTCAATATGTACCATAGAAAATCAAACTGCTCTATAAATTTTTTTCTGTATCAGGATCAAACTCATAATGTTGCGCTTGCCGGCAGGCGCTTACGCTAGTGAGCTAAATCCCAGGCCCATGTCTAATTATTCCATAGTCAGCGTAGAAGGCCAATAATAGAAAGTATCCCATTATGACAGAGACATAAATATTTAATAATCGTTGCTTATATCACATTGTATTATTGTTAGACTTTTTTTTACCTTTACAACTTCAGTAATAACATATATTATTTTGGTGGCCACTGATAAGCCCTTAATATTCATAACCTTATTTAACCTTGACAGCAATTCTAAAAGAAAGATACTGTTACCATGCTTCACCAAAGCTCAAAAAGTTTACATAATCTGCCCAAGTTCACACAACCAATAAATGACAAATCTGAAATTTGAACCCAGTACTTTCTGCTATCTTGTCTGCTCTCATACTCTTGCCAAAATACACTGTATGCATTAGAGTTGGCATGCCATGACCCCGCAGTAAATACTTGTGAAACATGCCTATTGAATGTCACCATTTATATGAATTGTCCAGAACAGGCATATCTGTAGAGAAATGTACTGGCTTCCAGGGGCTTAGGAGAGGTATGCAGTTTCTCTTTGAAGGTATTAAAAATGTTCTATAATTAATAGTGGTGGTTGCACAACTCTGACTAAACCAAAAGTCACTTAGTGCACATTTGAAAAGGGTGAATTTATGGTAAATAAGTTATATCTCAAGGCCCTTTTTTTTTTAAGATTACATGCAAGCATATGAGAATATAAAGATGCAGAAAACGTCCAACTTTCCTTTGGAGCTTACTCTAATTAGAGATAATTGTTAACAATTTATTTTACAGCAAT